GGCGCGGGATATGGGAACCCGGGCGGCGGCTGCACGTGGAGGGGCCCCTGGGCGGGCCGCGGCGGGGGAGCCGGAGCGGTGGGCGGCGCACCACCGCGGGTTCCGGCGGTGAGAGCCGTATGGGTGGCCCGGGCGCGCGACATCCGCATCCTCTTCTCCTCCAGCTTCAGGTACGCGACGATCTTGGGGAAGGTCGGGTTGGTGATGAGAGGGATGTTGGAGGCGGCATTCCCGAAGTCTTCGTTCAGGCCGGCGATGAGAGTGCTGAGGAGGAGCTCGTCGGAGACCTTCTCACCGAGGTCACGGAGCTCATCGACAAGCTTCTTGGGGCGCATGCAATAGTCGTCGACCGACGAGTCAAGCTGCTGGCACCCAAAAAACTCGCCTTGCAAGAAAACCTTGCGTTGGAGCGCGTTGTCGGTGAAGAGGCCGTTGAGCTTAGTCCAAACGGCGTGAGCGTCATCATCGGCGAAGACCACCGTGTGGAAGAGGTCCTTCGAGATGGTGGTGTAGAACCAGCGGATAAGAGTGGCGTCGATGGACGTCCACTCCTCATCGTCCTCCATGAAGCGGGAGTCCACGGAGCCATCGATGTGATCCCGGAGATTGTACTCACGGAACACAAGGGAGAAGTACGTCTTCCAGGCATAGTAGGTGGAGGTGAGTTGATCGAGGACGACAGAAACCCGAGCGAGGATATTGAGATCACGGATGACGACGGGATCGGGGCCGTCGAAGGGGTTGGTGCGGCGGCTGCGGGTGGTACCGGTGGAACCGGGGGAGGCCATGGCCGAGAGGGGAGGGCGGCGGCGCGTGGTGAAGTGGCGCGGCGGGAGGGATGGCGGCGCGACGCGGGTGGCGGACGGAAGCGCGAGGCAGCGGCGGCGGCGACACGAAGTGGCGGCGGCGGCGGCGATGGGATCGTGGCGGCGGCGGCGGCAGGAGTTAGGGTTAAGATCGTAGGTATGATACCACGTTGGAAACGAATATTTTGACAATGCAACTCGATGTATTAATCGGTGCATAGCGTACGTATATACGAAGTACAAGATGGGCTACAACCTCAACTATACAATGACTAAGAGGTGAGCGGGACTATACAATATACATGCACAAACCATATATTCAACATCTTACATTCAATTGAACGAAATAAGTGAATGAGGGGACTGTGGTGGGGGGAGTTTTCAGTTAGCTGGAGTTGGTTGGGAGCCGCCCCAGCCCCCAGCTACTGCTAATCACTTACTAATCAGGTGAGGTCCAACCCAAACCCATATTACTCACCCGAGCCCCGCAAGTTTACTTTTCCTTCAATTCAATTCAATGTATGGTTGCCTGCACTGCACGCCACACACACATACTACGCACACACGCAGAGAGAGAGAAAGCTTATCGCTGTGGCGAGAGGCCGGGAGTATAGAGCGAGAGAGAGAGCGGTGCGTCGGCTGGCCAATTAATTCTGGCAGGTGGTAGGGATGATGGGTGGCCAGAAATCGCCAACTACTCAGCTTAAACGGGTCAAAACCTCGAACGCCAGGACCCGGACCGGACCAACCCGCCCAGCCACCCTACCCTACTGCCTCCACCCGTTGCTATCTCTCTGTGTATATTCATTTTCCTGGCGAATTACGACTCGTTTATGGCCCCTCCAACGCGCGGAACAGAAGAGATCGCGAGCGCCTAGAGTAGGAGGGGTCCCGTGCCAAATGTGTATGAGTACAGTATAGTACGTACACATTAATAAGTTGACACGGCACAGGGCTAGCTAACCGAATTTTCCCATATGAAAGAGACCGGTTCAAATCCTGCCTTTTCTTCTCCCATCACGCGGCCGACGGTGGTCATTAAGGCCGTTTCCGTGCAGATTAACGGGGCGGACAAGAAGCTCAACATCCAGGCACGCACACCCCCACCGGGTTTGATTAGCGGTGCCGGTGAACTGGCCCTAATCACACAAGGACTTGAGGTGCTCAGGGGTATGATGTGCACATATCCGTTCATATAGGCGTTTGTATTATGCTTCTCAACGAAAAAAAAAGGTTGTGATGATCCGAAACAGCATAGTATCACCCCCTCCCATGAAAAAGTCACTCGGTCCATTAACAAAAATGCAGCATCACAAGCACCTCAGGAAAACAGTAAAATAAGAAATTGCATCTGCTTCATTGGGGACTCGGTTGCCTTCTACACTGAGAATGAGCAGATGGATGGCTAACCGACACTGCACTTCCGGAGTCGCCTGGCTTCGTTGCCTGCGGAAGGGAATTCATCGACGCTATGAACCGGTGCCTCATAGGAGAAACCATCACCAAACGAAGAAGGATCCGATTGCAAACCACATGCCGACCGAAGCGATCAACACCGGCTTAGCTCCCGTACGTCCCCACCATCACTTGCCGGTGTCGTCATAACAGTCATCATTGAAGCAGGGCCCAAGTCGAAGAACAAAAACCCTAGATGTTGCCACCGTCGCCACCTAACCGGCAACACCTGTCGGCCAAAGGACCACAAGAAGATAACCCGCTTGTCAACCTCTCAGCACCGAGCCTCCCCGGGATGGAGCTGGGATCGAGGGTAATTTCTAAACACCGACACATTCGTCCAAACACCATAAAAGGAGAGACGAACCTAACCCTAAAC